CTCCATCGTGAGTAATAGGCGCGAATAAGTAAATATAGAATAAGTAAAATCTAGACTTTCACATAAATAATACAAACTGAATTGGATTAATTTAATCCTAACAGAACCTAGCTTCAACTGACTCATGATCTTAATCAATGAAATTACTACAATCTCCACAAAACCCCTTCTGAGAACTACTCTCTGTTAAAATGGTATATGAAAATGATAAGAATATTCAGTCAATTAAATGTTGCATACATCTTTCTCATATTCATTGAGAGAACCTACATGTAACTTGATATCATATCTTTTCATTATGAACATTGTTGGATTGAATTTTCTTTAAACAGAATACTGATATATTCAATTAGTATAAACGGACACATGTCAATATGTAGACAATTTCAGTCGAGTATTTCTACCAGTGTAATTTATGAATAGAAAGAATATCTATCTACATGTGTAATTTACTAATAATATACTGACATAAGCTGGAGAACTACTGACAGTCGTAATATATTGTAAGGCCAGAGAAATATCACTAAGCCCTAGCCAAATCATCCGGAAGTTGGGTCACTGAATATCGAACTGATCGTCGATCCCCGTCATGGTCAAGGACGACCAACGCGCATCACATTAATCATACGTCATGGACTGACCTATGCGGCGATGGTCTCACTTTCGCTTGTATCTACTTTAACTAATATATTTCCAGAATAACAATCTATGTGTTGTATAATCTTCAAAGCATCTATAGTACCTCGATACGTTGATGGGGTGATCCAGGTAAGATGCTGACCGCGAGGTGTGACTTTGACGTTAGCTGGTTCGCCATACCATTCCCGTTTAACTCTAGTAGGCGCCCAATCATTCGACATAGATCATCTACGCTGGTGATTTACAATATGTTAAGAAACTTGAAAATCGTAATAATAATCGGATCATTATTCAATCGTGAAACGTATAATTGAATCATCTATACTTTACAGACTAGAATTAGATGTACCACATAGGAGGTGTAGATAATTCTTTAAGAATTTCAGTTAAATCATGATATAAATATAGTTTCAATGAAATTATGTATAGAAATTCCTTGATAAAGAATTATCAATCATAAGTCCTAGATTATTTTTAAATACAGTCAGTTAGCAACAACATAGAACTTCGTATATACGTACATCAGTTCGAGTTGCCATATCACATTAGCACAGAGATGCAGTTGTCGATTCAAATCCCATAGTAGTAGAGGTAGTGAAAGTATAAGTACTGATAAGGAACATTAAGGTTTGAAAATGTTATTCAAGGAGTATAATCTATTGAAATAAATTTGGAAAGAAAAAAAATAAAAAAGTAAATGAAGAATTCAGAAGATTAGAATTTGAGAGAATACAAACAGTGGATGCACCTGTACACACCATTGTAAACGATTTTGAGTCATGTCATATTCAAGGTCTCTAACCATCGGTTACTATCGTTTCACTGATTTCAATACAACATAGTCACCATACAATTAACACAAACCTAAGCTATTAAGACAGATACATTAATAATTAAAGCATAAACTAGATGGTGGTTGGAGGTGGTCGACAGGAAACCCTGGACACGGGTTTCGTGCTACTTGGCACTCGTCAGCAAGGTGTACCTGTAATCTTTGAGGGAACTGGTGCTCCCTGGCGGATTCGATCCCGTGTCACCCAGCTTCACAGTCAGAAATGTTACCACTGAGCTATCCGAGTCACCTAGACTGGTGGCCACATTGCAACATGATCGACAGCATTCGATCTGCACTAATAATAAGCACTAGACAAGCATGACATTGGTCACCACCCAGTGATCAATCAATTGTGATTACATCTCAGTCCTACAGGAGGTCGGTCGCGGTCCGGATACCTCAGTGGTAACATCTCTGACTGTGAAGCTGGGTGACACGGGATCGAATGCATCAGGGAGCACCTGTTCCCTCAAAGATTACAGGTACACTTTGCTGACGAGTGCCAAGTAGCACGAAACCCGTGTCCAGGGTTTCCTGTCGACCACCTCCAACCACCATCTAATCTTACAATAGTGCCTGCGGTGTCGAGTCACCTAGACTGGTGGCCACATTACAACATGATCGATAGCATTCGATCAGCACTAATAATAAGGACTAGACACGGATGACATTGGTCAGCTAATGATCAACCAACTGTAAAGCATAAACTGTATAATGATAGTGATAGTGGAATAACTTACGTATTTATTCAGTAAGTCTAATTGATCTTTACCAATCAAGTCGTAAAGAACTAATACTATATAGTATAATTACTCAGCAACTGAATTGTGCATATCTATACTTCTCTTATTGTAAACTTCATTTTGACCTATAAACTATTATGATACGATTTACTGTTCTTGAGTTATGCTCAGTTTATTGATTCCCATCTCCCATGATTACAGTCACTTTTTGATTTGATCTTTTATAAATGTGATTTCCTATTTTTTTTTTAGTGTGATGTGATCTGTTTGACTGGTATATATATCAAATATGTTTAAACTAAATGGAAGCTGTTATTGGTGTTCTGAACTTAACTGGATAGGTTAAGGCGAACAGATGATCAATAAGGACTTTAAGCTGGTCATACCGGTTGAACATTATTAGTTTAGCACAATATTAAAATTGAATAAGTCGTATTTCGATTGGCGAATAAATTATGTAATAACTAGCTAGAGTTCAAGTCATAACAGAAACTATGAATAAAACAATGAAAATGTACTAATTCAAGATGCCGTAGTATCTAAGATCTTTAAATCTCCCAATAGTATGTACTTACAACCTATAGGTTTATTGGTGATCTTTTAAATTTTTATTCTGAAGAGTAACGTGACAGGACGAAACAGATATCCAATGTTTTCAATTTCAAAATTTATCAGAACTGAAGCCAATCCATGAATAATAACTAATTTTTAGTAAAACTCTTCAATCAATACTAGTTTTCGGTAACCAAAATATTAGTACACTATCATCATCAACATCATCATCATCATCATCCAAAGCATCATCATCATCCAAGCATCATCATCATCATACGGGCCCCCAAATGCCCTGGTACGGCCGAGAGTGGGGAGATTCCGCTCACCCTCTCCAAATAATCTCACATGGACACGCCTATAGAACCTCTGACAGGGAAGTCCTACTCACTGCATTCTCGTGACACAGGTGTTGTTTGCAAAAATGAGAGGACGAAAAGCGAATGTCCGGCGCTTTAACCGGACCTCAAACCAATGGTGCACATGGGCTGGCTCCAGTATCCTGCCTGAGGGAACAAATGGCGTATGAACCAATTCTTGGTCACCGGCTACCATGGGATTGCATCTCCTTACGATGCTCCACTGCCTTGTGGGTTAGACCTTTAGGTCAAAGGCTCGGGGTGTGGCCCCCTAAGAAAACCACCTGCTTTGGTTTGGGCACCCGGGCAGTATCACAGCCCTCACACAAATCAATTGAGATTCGTGTGGCGCATATGTACTTGGTGCCTCCCTGTACCTATACCTATGTGTTAAAAAATAAATAAATAAATCATCATAGGGAATGAGAAGCTGGTATAAGAAGTTCATAAATTAGTATCATAAACGTAAATATTAAGTCCGTAACAAAACATTACTATGGAAGACTGTTTAAAGGACTGGCAACTAAATATATTAGATACAACTGATTACGTCATCTGAAATTATGTTGAAGATGATTGATATATATGAATAGTAAATTTACCTCCATCCAAATAGTCAATTGAGAATGGACAGAGCAAACAGTCAGTTACACTTTACATTACGAGTTTACCTTTATTGGATAATCATTGAAAGTTAGGGAGCACAGGGGTAACTATTTCATTTTATTATGAAACTTTTCAATTATGTGTGCCCATAAACTTCTCAGGGATCGAACTCAAGGCTCTTTATTCTATTTGAGAATATTCAATCTTTAGACCATTGAATCAGCATTCAGTGGTTTACATGTCTGACTTCAGACAGTTCATGATGTTTCATGAGAATCATACAATTTAACTAGCGGGTAATTGCCTCCCTCCTGGCACCGGTGAAATCCACTTTCCACGGTTTCTCACTAGAACTCCAGATCGGTAGAGTTCAACAGTGTCTAGTGTTAAGCAGTTGCTGACCGGAGACAATGGAAGATGGTTGCGTAATATTGCGAGTTAAGTTGAACCCGTAAATAACTGAATTCTGGTTCAGTATTCGAAAGGTTTGACACTCTCTACAAGCCTTTAATGTCCCAAGTTTGACCCGCGGTAAATTGATGAATGAGCACAAAAGAGAAGTACCATGATAAAGTCTAACAGATACACTGTACTTCCCGGTTTCCAGTGGTTATTTACCTCAAGTCTGTCCGTGATGTGTCGGTTATTTGGATCCATGAGATCAGACCGTAAGACAGGAGAGCAGTTGGATTAACCTTGTCCGAGTATTAACTAGTTCTCATACACTAGCTATATAACACGAATGAACTTTTGCTAAACAAAAGTACACTAAATGTGGGATGCTAGGCGAGAATAAGACTCAATGACCATTGGTTCATAATGTAGTTTCCGATGTCTGCTCATCTAATAACCAGAACATAGAACAACTCAGCAAACAGACAACTTCTAACTATATACTGAAAATTTATGAATTACTCACACGCTGTCCGAATAGAAGTAGGTGGGATGTGGTCAGGAATCGTCAATCCAACTCACTGAGTACGAAGATGATACTTTGTCTGTCAGCTGATAGTAATCACGATAATTTTGATCAGATTACTAAATTAATATAAACAAGTGCTTAAGTGCATAAAATTGACAATCATCAATAACAACATATAACTTTTCAAGTATCAGTTTCAATCATTCTCTATTTGTGTCACTAATCATTCATAATTCATATTATTATGACCTGTGACCTATTAATTGTATCATGTGATATGATCACCAAACAGAACACGACTTATATAATCTTAGTATTGTACCAAACCAATGACGTGTGACAGGTACGAGCAGCCTAAAATCCATATCGATCCTTCTCATTTAGCTCTGCCTGTTGAGTTCAGAACACCAATATCTGGTTTGTATACAAGCAAACTAGACGACATCATACCATAAAATAGGAGGATCAAACCAAAATGTGGCTGTGGTTGTGAGAGACTGTAATTAATCAGTTAAGAATAATAAAACAATAGGTCAAATAAAAGCTTAGTTATACAATATGAATATAGTAGTAGTAGTAGTCGTAGTCGTAGTCGTAGTCGTAGTCGTAGTCGTAGTCGTAGTCGTAGTCGTAGTCGTAGTCGTAGTCGTAGTCGTAGTCGTAGTCGTAGTCGTAGTCGTAGTCGTAGTCGTAGTCGTAGTCGTAGTCGTAGTCGTAGTCGTAGTCGTAGTAGTCGTAGTAGTCGTAGTCGTAGTCGTAGTCGTAGTCGTAGTAGTAGTAGTCGTAGTCGTAGTAGTAGTAGTAGTAGTAGTAGTAGTAGTAGTAGTAGTAGTAGTAGTAGTAGTAGTAGTAGTAGTAGTAGTAGTAGTAGTAGTAGTAGTAGTAGTAGTAGTAGTAGTAGTAGTAGTAGTAGTAGTAGTAGTAGTAGTAGTAGTAGTAGTAGTAGTAGTAGTAGTAGTAGTAGTAGTAGTAGTAGTAGTAGTAGTAGTAGTAGTAGTAGTAGTAGTAGTAGTAGTAGTAGTAGTAGTAGTAGTAGTAGTAGTAGTAGTAGTAGTAGTAGTAGTAGTAGTAGTAGTAGTAGTAGTAGTAGTAGTAGTAGTAGTAGTAGTAGTAGTAGTAGTAGTAGTAGTAGTAGTAGTAGTAGTAGTAGTAGTAGTAGTAGTAGTAGTAGTAGTAGTAGTAGTAGTAGTAGTAGTAGTAGTAGTAGTAGTAGTAGTAGTAGTAGTAGTAGTAGTAGTAGTAGTAGTAGTAGTAGTAGTAGTAGTAGTAGTAGTAGTAGTAGTAGTAGTAGTAGTAGTAGTAGTAGTAGTAGTAGTAGTAGTAGTAGTAGTAGTAGTAGTAGTAGTAGTAGTAGTAGTAGTAGTAGTAGTAGTAGTAGTAGTAGTAGTACTAGTAGTAGTAGTAGTAGTAGTAGTAGTAGTAGTAGTAGTAGTAGTAGTAGTAGTAGTAGTAGTAGTAGTAGTAGTAGTAGTAGTAGTAGTAGTAGTAGTAGTAGTAGTAGTAGTAGTAGTAGTAGTAGTAGTAGTAGTAGTAGTAGTAGTAGTAGTAGTAGTAGTAGTAGTAGTAGTAGTAGTAGTAGTAGTAGTAGTAGTAGTAGTAGTAGTAGTAGTAGTAGTAGTAGTAGTAGTAGTAGTAGTAGTAGTAGTAGTAGTAGTAGTAGTAGTAGTAGTAGTAGTAGTAGTAGTAGTAGTAGTAGTAGTAGTAGTAGTAGTAGTAGTAGTAGTAGTAGTAGTAGTAGTAGTAGTAGTAGTAGTAGTAGTAGTAGTGGTCATAAACAATAAAGAAGAGTTTACAAGTCAAGCATTCAGTTCTACGAATTAGTGAATAGTCTAAGAATTCTGAATGCCTTGGTATGGCCGAGAGTGGGGAGAGTCAGCTCCCTCTCTCCAAATGCTCTCACATAGCCACGCTAATACAACCACTGTCAGGTTAGTCCTACTCATTGCCTTCTCTCATCAGGGATGTTATTTACGAAATTGAGAGGATGAAAAGCAAATGTCCGGCATTTTAACCTGGTTGGTGAAAACAGAGAGCCCACCTAGGGGATTTCGAAAACCCTGATTCCGAACTAATGATGCACATGGGGTCCAGGATCCTGAAGAAACAAATGGTGTATGATCCAATCGGTGATCACCGACTATCATGGGACTGCATCTTATGAAGTTTCTCCACTGCCTTGTGGATCACACTTTAGGTCCAAGGCTCCGGATTCGGCCCCCTAAGAAAACCACCTGCTTCCTTTTGAGCACCTTGGCAGTATCCCAGACCACGCAAAAATCGAATAATTTATGTGGCGCATATCTATTTGGTGCCTCCTTGTACCAATGTTTATGTGTTTAAATAAATATATTAAATAAATTTGTATACACTAATATTTGTCTTGCTTTATTATATCCATTTAAGGGGGTTTTGGGGGGTTGATAATTCATCACCTGGAGATACTACTCACTTTTTTCAAAAGATTAACTGCATAATTCATGTTCATTCAATCAATGTAATATTTCAATAGTTGAGATCATGATTCAATTGAAGCTAGACCATCATAGAAAACCTGGAAGTATTGGACAGCCGTTTCGTCATACTGTAGGATTTCTCACCAGTGCGCATTCATGTTCCCTCCTCTTGAGATTCGAACCCAGTATCGTGGATGCGCACTGCTAAGGAGTCCTACAGTAGGACGAAACAGTCGTTAAGTACTTCCAGGTTTTCCATAATGATCTAGCTTCAATTAATTCATGATCTCAATTATTCGAATATAATTTTGTTATTTATAGAAATTCATTAGAATCATTACATCGAATAGATTATTTAACTAAAGTTACCACCATTATCACGACAGAAAAAGGTCAAGTATATGTTACATGTTATATGATGTAATATTCTCTGACCTAGACGATTTGTTTGAGACGTTTTCATCATTATTCCGCATAATATAATCAATGGTTAAATTAAATAGATTTCAGTGTATTCATGTTTTTTTTTTTAATTCATTCTTATTGATTAATAGTTTGTTCAAATGACCCCTGACCATATGACTGACTGACTGACTTACTTACTTCGTATGATCTTATAAAGTTAATGTATGTAGATATGGTTATTGATTATAGATTGATCAAAATTTATAGTTTCTAAGGCTTGTGAAATGATCTGTCTATGCTCCTATATAAATAGATGGACAAGGGGTAACTACTATGTCTTCTAATTGACTGCTACTCTTATTCGATATAAATTATTTCATAGATGATATAAAAATTCTACTGGAATAAGCTCACTTCTACTTAAAATATTCTGGAACGTTGTATTGATTCGTGTGTGGACTGTGGAACTGTCCCGGTACACAGACTGAAGTAGGTGGTTTTCTTTGGGGGGGGACACATCTAGAGCCTTCGATCTAAAGATCTGATTCACAAGGTAATGGAGCAATGTCAGGAGATGCAATCACATGGTAGTCGGTGACCAACAATAGGTTCATACGGCATTTGTTTTGTCAGGATACTGGAGCCCATGTTCACCATTGGTTTGGAATGAGAGTTTCCCAACTCCTCCATATCCACCAACCCATTTAAAGTTCCAGTCATTCACTTTTCGTCCTCTCAATTTCGTAAATAACATCCCTGGTGTGAGAAGTCAGTGAGTAGGACTAACCTGACAGTGGTTGTATTATTAGAGAGAAAGTTGACCCTCCCCACTCTGGGCTTTACCAGGGCATTTGGGGGCGATATTTTACAAAATCATGATGAAAGTCCCTAGTTAAATAATCCAGTTTCGAGATCATAAGATCACTAGAAGCATTCCATCAAGCTATTTTCATTATCCGAGTATCATATAGAGTGAAAGAAATTGAGATAATGAAAAACTGATTATGTTACCTATGTTGTAGATGTAAATATTTCACACTACAAAACGTCTCTGAAACAAGATTTTACGGAATGATTTCTGAAACTTTACACAACTTATTCCCTGAATAAACTTTTAGAAGATCAAAACAAAAAAAAACTCTGTGGGGAAAATTTGAATTCATTTTATTTATATCACTGAAACAGATACTCGTAAGCTGCTAGTATTTGACCACAGTTACTTTAGAAATATTGCTGGCATCTGCTGGGATCACCGGGTGAGTAATAGTGAGGTAAGACGCAGAGTATCAAGGAATTATGGTAAGTCAGTTGATGAGCTTGTGAATCTACATCGACTGAGATGGTTGGGCCACATGTTGCGTATGTATGAACACCGATTACTACGACGCGTATTGCTGAATAGTGTTGGGTATGGTTGGAAGAACGTAAGGCACGGCCAAACCAAAACGTGGTATCAGTGCTTGAAGTCACTAACTTCTAGTCAGAGCCATGTTAGTAGATGCAGACTAATTGGTTGGGGTCCGTGTGATTATTGTAACCAATGGTTGCAAACTCTGAATAACATAGCTCAGAATCGATCACAATGGTGTAGGTGTTTACACTCGTTGTCTTCCTTCAAACAAAGAGATTAAAATCACTTCATATCTATCTTTCTACGAACTAATTCTTCCTTCCTGTACTATCACCTTATATGTAATTTTTTCTTTTATCTATTACCACCATTGACTTAACTACTCCTATGAATCCGGTGTTCGTCTTACTGTACTAATGCGGTTTGGTAACTTGAACCGATGCATATATATGCCTGGTCCTACATTGTAGCTGACTGACTGATAAAGTACATTTGTAAAACTACATCCTATTTATAGAGATTTGTGTATACAATCAGAAATCCTTAAAGTAGGATCTAGCATAATTGTTCATCGAACATGTTTATGATACTTTTCATCAGTAAAAAGAAATACGGATTACATCAGGATGAAATAAAAGTAGTTTAAGTAGTATATTGTGATAACGAAAATACAATTTGAAAAGAATAACTTGAATTGATAAATGAAAAATACGATGTCTTTTTCATAGACTTTTGTTCTCTAAACTGAATGGGTTTGGTTATGAAGCTTTCATCATTCTTCTGAACGATATCATCAACACAAACTTCAGGTAGTCGAAATTTACAAGATGATCAACAACAATTATCTTTATGCCACTGTTATTGATTTTCAGTCATGTCACATCAAGTCTTCGAAACAGAAGTCATCATTGACGTATGAATATTACTAGCTAAAAGGTCTCCACTTCTAAATACAACACAGAGAAATTATAAATGACTTTCTGAGCTAAGGCTACACACTAGATTATCTTGATTTGACCTATATAGCTCATTTACGGATGTTGAATCGCTATCGAATAACTTAGCCTGGACATGTATTAGATAACCCCGACTAACCGTTACTTCAACAATCGATCGTAACTAGTGTAAGAGTAGGTTAGAAGAGAGAAAGGTAATAAAACTAAAACGTAGTATCAATGCATGGGATATATGACTGTTTGATTGACCATTGGTTGAAGACTTTGGGTAACAGGGTTCACAGACCGTCGAAAAGGTACAGATATATCCACTCTTTGTCTCGCCTTAAATTCACAATTACCTTATACTTCATCTTGAATCGTTCTGTTTATATCTAATGCTTTCTACTACTATTAGCACTTTTACCATTTAGGTATTTTTCTTGATACTCTTATTTCGCTATGGTAGGACAACTTGATAAAATGCCCATGTGTCAAGTTGCCTAAGATCAGATACACATTTTAATGTACTATGCTATGAGCTATAGTGTTTGAGTGAAACCTAATAGTACTACCCATTCATCTAAATTGAAGTAGGTGATGCAGTAAGATTTAAACCTACTACTGTCTAACGATTGAGAAGCCAAATATTATAAAAACGGTTCAATATTGAAAGAATTTCAAGTTAGCTAACAAGATATTTGTCTAGCGCAACTATACTATCTAATGTCATTGAGATGTTTTTGAACACCATTAAAAATCTGTCAACATTGGGCGGGTTTCCTGATGGTACGGGACTGCTCAGAGATGCACATCCTCAAGCCCCACCAATCGAATCTAGAACCTCCGGTCTCGCGTGTAGACACTTAATCCCTAGATCGTTGAACCGGGATGCAACACTGTTAATGTCGAATTTCAATTCATCCACGACAATGCACATTTCCCACTGACTTCGACGAGTTAATGCCTCACATCCGATAGGGTTTATATTATATGAATTTCAGTATGACAATGTTTCGTATTAGTATGACTACATAAATCAATGGAGACTATCGTCACAAACAGTAAAGGATGTTTTTTTTTTATTTCTTTCTGTACAAACCGAACTAGTGTGTTTCACATACACACATGACATAAAAACCAAAAGTACAACGATTCCAGTAATAACAATAATAATAATAATAATCAAAATAGGTAGACATAATTGATCACTACTGCTAATATGAATAATTAAATTGTCTATCTTGATAATTTGATGATAGTAACATGTACCATGTATGTGGTTTGAGTGAAACTCTCTCTCTCTCTCTCTCTCTGTTTTCCTTCCCACATACAAACATGGAATACACCACAGAGGATAGTGATGTCAAAAAGAAAATTTGGAGCTATGTAAAAGAAGATTGTTGTTAAATGATTTTTTGCGGTGGTAATATAAGAAAATTTAAGCGAGAAAAAAGAAAGAAAAAAATGGAACATCATACAAAAAAAAACATGAGAACACAGTGATCATCACCACTTTTGGGGGGAGGGGGGTTCAATATTGTTTCAGTATCCAAATAATAACCCTGGTCAAAAGGGGAAAAGATAAGATTGGAATATAATAAACAGGAAAAAATGTCATTTATTCATCCATATAAAGAAAGAGAAAGCACTTTTATAACAATACTAAAAATAACAAGGTACTTTTCTACAATCCATAATCAATCAATAATAAACCATATATCCTAAACTGGAAACATTCAAGAATAGTTACTATTAGAGTATTTGTATGGAGTTTTGATGAAGACAAGATAGTATCCATTTATTCTTATATTTCCCAGCTATTCAACAACTGGGACACACTAAATAGAATAAATCATGATTATTGTTTCACTCAGATATATTGTCAACAAGGAAGAGGTGAAATATCATAATAATAGTAGTAATAGTAATAGTAATAGTAATAGTAATAATAATGCATAGTTTTCTTATCTTGTATATATATATATGTAAGGAGAAATTACAAAATTGACTAAATATAGTAGCAAATAAGGATAATTAATGGTAATTTGGATTTTTGTATGAAAGACCCTTGGTGAACGAGCATTGATAAGTAGTAGTCAGTTGGAATAGGAACAAACAGAAGAGAAACAGAACAAGAACAACAACAACAAAAAGATTCAAGAAGAGAAAGGACAAATAGAAGGAATATAACAATGAGATAATGAGGATGAGGATAACAACAACAATCACTAGGCATAATACATTATGATTGTTGTTTTTTTTTGAAATTGAATGTCAGATGAAGATAAAAAAAAAAGGTAAGATGAACAATGGAAGAACAAGAATATTGCTATCATCAATTGATTAATGTAATAGGATTTGATTGTTTCATTCTTATTAGGATACTAAAAAATATGTGTTGAGAATAGGCTGAATAATAAAATATAAATTAGATACACATAGAGAAATAATAACTCTAATGATTCTCCATTGGATAAGATCAAGTAAGTTATCAACAATACTACCACTATATATGCACCACTATCGTCTCGTACACAAGTAACTACTATTGTTGTCACTATAAAACGCCAGTAGTAAATTGTGTATATGTTTCATCATTTATTTGTACAATGTTGAAATATACATGTATCTAATTGTTTATTCATACGATTTAGACAGCGCAGAAGGCTGATGATGTTGATAAAATGGATGATGATTATTATGCGATGATATTAATCCTTGATCGGATAAACCTATATTGTGTGAAAAGAAGAGAATTAAATTCAGATTGATAATAATGACTATAAATGGATACAATGTTATTTATTTATTGAAACATATCAATTAATTTACATGTGAGCTAGAAGTGGCCGAACCGAAGCAAATCTTTCTCTTGGTGAGGTCACACACCTCCCGAACCTTTGACCTAAAGGTCTAATCAACAAGATAGTGGAGCGACGTTAGGTGGTGCAATCCCATGGTAGCCGGTGACCAACAATAGGTTTATACGCCATTTGTTCCCTTAGGATCCTGGAGCCCATATGCACCATTGGTTTGGAATCAGGGTTTTCCAACTCCTCTAGGTGGATCCTTAGTACACTCCGACCTGGATTGAGTGCCAGACCACAACGAGAGAAGACAGTGAGTAGGAATTCTCTGGCAGTAGCTATATACGTATGGCCATATGAGAGCATTTCGAGAGGAAGGGAACTCTGACCGCTTTCGGCCGTACCAGGTCACAAGGAGAAAAGTGAACAAACCGAAAAACACTTCATACGAATCAAAAACCTATAACCTAATTTTTTGCAGATACTAAAGCACCACCTCGCCTGATAAAACTAAACAATGATCCCAACCGTAACTTTGATGGAATGGTTGAACTTGACCTTTCATCAAGACAACCTAATCTGGCGATATTGGTGGGAATACTTGTTTCAAATGATCTTATCATGCCATGTCAAACAGGTTGGATACAAAGAACTAAAACAAAAACGATCACACTGAAGGTTGAAAAGTGATGCAGTATTGCCAGTTGTACCAAGTTATGATGGCAAAATGTATTTATCACGGATTACCATCTTCTCCATAGAAATAGTATACAATCCTGTCATAATTAATGGCTATGAAACATGATCTTCGAAAGTCGGCAACTAGTGAAACCTACTATATGAATGACCCCCTACTTTTTGTGAAACCATTAAGAATATTGATGGAGTTGGGTATAGTGTTGTATGGTAAATCAGTCAGTCAGCTGCAACGTAGGACCAAGCACATATATGCATCGGTCCAAGTTGCCATACCGCATTAGCACAACAAGATGAACACCGGATTCATAGAAGCAGTTCATTCAGTGGTGGTAATATATAGAAGAAAGTTTGCATATAAGGAGATAGTACAGGAAGGAAGAATTAGTTCGTAGAAAGATAGATATGAAGTGATTTTAATCTCTTAGTTTAAAGGAATATAGAAAGTGTATACTTCCACGCCATTGTGATCGATTCTGAGCCATGTCACACACAGTCTCCAAGCATTGGTTACAATAATCACACGGACCCCAACCAAGTAGTCTGCATCTACCAACATGGCTCTGACTAGAAGTTAGTGACTTCAAGCACTGATGTCACGTTTTGGTTTGTCCGTGCCTTACGTTCTTCCAACCATACCCAACACTATTCAGCAATACGCGTCGTAGTAATCGGTGTTCAGACATGCGCAACACGTGGCCTAACCATCTTAGTCGATTAAGATTCACAACCTCATCAACTGATTTACCATAATTCCCTGATACTCTGCGTCTAACCTCACCATTACTCACCCGGTGATCCCAGCAGATGCCAGCAATATTTCTAAAGTAACTGTGGTCAAATACTAGTAACTTACGAGTATCTTCTACTCCTAATGGCCATGTTTCGCAGCCTTATAGTAGAACGGAACAAACTGCCGCGCAGTATACTCGTCCCTTAATTGATAGACGGATATCTCACCTGCGCCATACGTGACATAAGTTGGCGAAATCCAGACGAGCTTTTCGAATCCGTGCTGAGATTTTGTCAGACACCAACCAATTAGGGCTGATCAGACTTCCAAGATAAGTGAAGTTGTCAACGCGTTCGACTACTTCACTCCCTATCTTTAGTTCAGGTGTTGACGCAGACCAGTCCTGAAGCAACAACTTGCATTTAGAGGGAGAGAAGCGCAGTTCAAACATTCTGGCATTATTGCTCAGTGCTACCAAAAGACTGCATTTCATCAGTGTGTTCACCAAACAGGACTATGTCATCTGCGTATTCTAAGTCGATAAGTGGACCTCCTGTTAGGAGATCAATGCCTGAGAATTCAGTCTATGAGAGCGTTATTTCCATCAATAGATCTATGATGAAGTTAAAGAAAAATGGAAAGTGGACAGCCTTGTCGGACACCACTTGAGGTTGCAAAAGCAGATGACAGTTCACCATAAGCTCTGACTCGACTAGTAGTGTTCGAGTAAAGAGCCTTCACAAGGTTTATGTACTTCTGAGGTGCATCTTTCAATGACAGACACTGCCACAGGACCTCTTGGTCTACAGAGTCAAATGCTGCTTTTAAGTCCAGGAAGATCACTATTGTCGGACGCCGTCAAGTATGCCTGTATTCTAGAACCTGACGAATGGTGAATGTGGTCTATGCATCCACGACCAGGTCTGACGCCAGCTTGATTCTCTCGTGTTTGTAGTTCACGAGTCTTAGTTAGGCGTCCTATAATTTTCGAGGCTAGTATTTTAGAGACTATATTAGTCAAACTAATCCCTCTGTGGTTGTCACAGGATGATTTTGACCCTTTCTTAAATATTGGGACGATAAGTGATTGTGACCAGTTAGATGAGATAACGTCTAACTCCCAGATTTTAGCTAAAATATTAGTCAACCTAGTCGCTAAAACTAGACCACCATTCTTAAAGACCTCTGGGGCCAATCTATCTGGATCAGCTGCCCTTTCTCGTTTCAGACTAACCATAGCCTTTTGAACTTCAGGTAGATTTGGGAGACCTACTTCAATGTTCCATTCACACTGTCTGGGAATAGAGGGTAGTTGTAAAGTAGCTGAAGACCAGCTGAACTGTTCTCTAAAATGTCCCGCCCATCGTTCTAAACGTCTGAACTGGGAGCAGATGAGAGTGCCGTTTTTTTCCGAAAGAGTCTGACTTACACTTGACTTATTAATCCCAGTTTCTTTTATTAGTCTTTGGAGTTGTCTTGTGTTCCCTATAGACGCCGCCTTTTCCATCTCTTTTGCTTTCGTTGCCCACCACTGCTCACGGTCGTTCCTTAGACTTTTGGTTAATCAAGATCTGATTTTTTTACGCTTTTTATCGTGTTCAGAACCTGATGGGATGAGTTTACAAGAATCCATCAGTGCAATAGACCTTGAAGAAATCCATTGGTTCTTTGTAACCCTGTGGTTTAAATTACTAATTGATGTCACTGCTGTTTCCACGGCTGCTTGTATATCTTTCCAAGCAACATCTGAGTCAGCCTCGTTTTCAGAACTACCTAAGTGTAACCTCAGTTGTTCTTGGAATCTACGTTTGGTTTTCTCATTACTCAATTCGGTTCTAATGAGTCTTTATTGTGTAGCTTTTTGCGCCCAGTGAGGCGCAAGCAGATGAGTGCTCGTATTAGGGCATAGTTGAAGCCAAGGCAGGTACTCCAGAATGTGCGATCAGACGATTTAATAAATTGGCACAGCTTTAAACTTTCATCGATTGAGATGATTAGGACACAAATTAGGAGTAGTCAACCGACGCCTACTCTAATAAACAATGTATGTCAGTACATGAGTAGGTTGGTCTCTTATACGACAATTACAATTGATGATTCCACTTCAAGTATCAATATGTTTTACCATGGATTTCAATGTTGTTTCGAACTCTTTATATGTTTTTATATTTAGCTCTCCAATAAAATTACAGTTGTTAATCTTATCTTTTTATATTTGAGTTTATTTCACATTCTGATATTGTGAGATAGTCTGGTTTGGATCAGATTACATTCATATCAGACCCTATGTTGTCTATGATCGGATAATAAGTACGTTTAAGGATCAAACAACTACATTCAAATAAAAGCTTTCAACATCTCAAAACAAATAGGAATAAATGCCATAAATAACTGAACATTTATGATTGATTAGCTTGTCAGTTGAAATTGTAATCGTAAAATGTTTAACTTAATTAACATGAGTTATCTAACCAAATGAGTTTAACTCACCGGGTCGTGGTGGAACCGGAGAATTTCGTGAAACACAAAAAGTAAGAGGATTTGATACAAATGATCCTGTGGATGATGGACGTGAAGTTTTCTCAGTCATAACTAATCCAGGAGAAACAGAGAGAAAAGTCAGCTGTCGGGAATTATCATGATTTGATGATGGAATTAATGGAGCACTATTAGAAGGGGATGACTGAGAACTTGATAAATCATTTAATACTGATGGGTTACTGCTATTATGATTGTTATTGTTGGTTATAAGGGATCTGGAAGGCGATTCTTTCTGAAAAGGATAAGTTATAGGGGAATTATTATTTCTGGTCGGTTTTAATCCACTTTCTGCACTCTGTTTGTCCATGGATTTAATGGTTGGAGATGCAGTTTGATAGAAGATATTGCTTACACCCTTTAGAGTTGGAGAAAACAAATTAGCAGGAAAATATAATTTAGTCGATTCATTAGATCCAGTAACGGTAGAACACGAAGACAATATAAGTGGAGATAGATTTAAGCGTCTGGAAACATCAATGTATCCTTGGGGTAAGGGTGGTTGATTAGAAAGATTTGATAAAATTGATGAAGAATTCAATATTGCTTCTCTGGAATTCTGAACATCAATTGATGCCATTCCTAAGTTTAAAACTGGGAAATTATTAGTTGTAGATGATACAGTACCATCATCAGAGATATCAGAATATGCAGGACTAGCAGTAGGAGGCTCGTCAAGAACATCTGTTGTATGGTGATTATTATCAAACTTCGATGAGTTTGAGTCACCTGGATCAATAAGTGGATTTGCATTAGAAAAAGAATCAGATATCGATACAACACGATGTAGTTTCGGTGGATCAATATTATCATCAATATCATCACCATTTGTTAAAACTAAACTTGTTTCGTTACTGTCACTACTTCTATCTTTGGTACAATGTGCTCTTGCTAATTTCGGTGGAGGAGATGAATTAGCAGAGATATCACAAACAGATATTTCAAGATTACTATCAAAATCTTCACTTTTTATCCATCTAGCCTGATCAATAATAGGCTCAACAAGAGATTCTCTCATATTTTTCATTTCTATGGTTTGAACGTTATGATGTCCCATTGTGAAATGAAAACGCATACTAAGAATATCGGCAAAACGCTTTTCACAGCCATTGAATGGACAACTGAGTGGTAATTTACAATCGGATTTTGAAGATAAAACATCTGACAAAACGTTTGTTTGGTTATCTGCATCATCGTTAGGGGTTTGTTTAGTTTCGGGCAAAGATGTGTTCATAGAACATTCAAGAGATGGAGAGACTACACCAATAGAACGAACTGGTCTTCGACCAGTGCCACGACGTCTACGTCCTTTAGCTCCACGTTGGGGAATATCATGTGATGCAACATTGCCAGACTTCTTGCTATAACTTGTCTCTACAGGTACATACGGTTGGTCAATACACTCCGTTGAATAAGGATCATTAACAACAGATTGGTCTTTCGAATCTACACTCCCCTCTCTTGAGTCTTGTGATGCAGCGGCTGCCGCTGCCGAAGCTGATCGAGTAGTCATTGATATGCCAGTAGTACTGCCACCACCACCACGACGATGATGACGCAGATGGTGAAAATGATGAAGGCCACGAGCTTGATAACCTCTGTGTGGATCACACCAAGATTTTCGACCACGTAAGAGATTCAATGCACTGGCAACACCTTTATCCATGCTGAGAAAAAATACAAAATAACATTTAATTCAGCTATCAAGGTCCACGATTAATATACAATAAATAATTATTAACTTTATCAATGTAATTTTCAATGCCACTGGCGTAAAGAAAGCAAATGTTCGAGTCAAAATTTCTCAGATAAGTCATCACAATAGACGAGCCCTATCATGACAACAAGCTAATAAGCTAAGGTAGAAAGCTTCAGTAGTATTAATTAAATAACAATAGAGTAAAGTTATGCCCATACCATAAATTTGAAAACAGAAGCTATAATGATAAATAATTTAAAACTTACCAAGTAGGTGCAAATGTTTGTTTTGATGAATCTAACAAAGTGCCCATATAGTTTCGTCCTCGCCAATGAAGACTAAGAACAAGCATCCCTATTAATAGAAGGTAAAATATTTCACTTCCAAAGTAAATCAACATGAAATAATACAGATTATAAATTACATAACACAACCTCCCCCCTCATTTATTAATTATATCTGTTATTCAATGAATGAAATTTAGTTGAACATTACGTAATAACCTGATAGGTGATCATTCTGATGATAATATTTTATTATTTATTTATTTTAACACATAAATATCGGTACAAGAAGGCACCAAATACATATGCGCCACACAGATCTCATTTGATATGTGTGAGGGGCTGTGATACTGCCCGGGTGCCCAAACCGAAGCAGGTGGTTTTCTTATGGGGCCACACCCCGAGCCTTCGACCTGAAGATCTGATCCACAAGGCAGTGGAGCATCGTGAGGAGATGCAGTCCCATGGAAGCCGGTGACCAATGATTGGTTCATACGCCATTTGTTCCTTCAGGATACTGGAGCAAGCCCATGTGCACCATTGGTTTGGGATCCGGTTATAGCGCCGGACATTCGCTTTCCGTCCTCTCATTTTTGTAAACAACACCCCCGCCACGAGAAGGCAGTGAGTAGGACTTCCCTGGCAGGGGCTGTATACGCGTGGCCATATGAGAGCATTTCGAGAGGGTGAGCGGACTCTCCCCACTCTCGGCCGTACCAGGGCATTTGGGGAAATAGATGTAGTTAACAGATACTATAAACCATATGAAACTTGTATACTATATATCACATTGGTATAAAATTTCATCATGTCGTAGTTCAGTTTAGTTAAATGAAACACTACAAATATCAGAATAATTAACTCAATTTAATAAATAATAAACTATGTACATAGTTTGTAATATTTGTTGAAATCAACTTAGATAAATGCTTTCAGAATTGCTTCAACGTTCTATGATTTTCGTGGTTTAACTATGAAACTTTCATTGTCATCATGTACAATGTTAAATAGAAGTGAGCTATTAAAAAAATATAAAAAAAATAAAGCTCCACAAATATCAAATCAGTACGTTTCGTTGATCATGGTTGAAACTAATTAGTTTCATAGATTTTGTTATCTCTATGTATCCGTGATTCTTTATTGATTGTTATGTTTGCTCAACAGTCAGATATTCTATCTTCAATAACGTAACAATGCCAAAAGTTAGGTAACCCAACACAATGACAAATTTTTATCAGGGGATTATAGTGACTAAAACTGTTCTTGTCTTTTAACTACTTCCTTAGTGAAGTTGAAAGTTGATAACATTTCATAATCATTATTCATTATTGATTGTTTATCCATGTTCTTAACAGGATAATAAAACACAATGAATAAATGAATTTTCCAATACTAATTCGCGTTTAACTATCAAGATTGGAAACATAAAAACTAATACTGAACACCCACCTGTAGCTTCTAACCATACCACACCTTCTACAACAACTTTTGTGCCTGGTTCACAAGGTCCAAGAAGGTCTGGTTCAGTTAAGGTAGCACTATCAACTGTAGAAGTTGAAGAATCAACAAAATGACAAGGCTTTTCGAATACTGATAAAAGCTCCTAAAATATGAAATAGTACAATAAACAGATGTATCATCGTTGATAGATCAAATATGAAGTGGGAGATTAAGTATCTAATGAAAATGATATTTTAGAGGACGTCATATGTGAACAACAGGATAATTCCAATTCTATAACTGTAAAAAAGTCCATACCATGCAAAAGATCAATTCTGTGAAGAAAAATGTATGATGCCATAACTGGAATCGGGTCAACAACTCGATAGCTTTGGTAATGAATCTCTCTAATACCGGACAAGAACCAAAAAGTTTGAATAAATACAATAACGACTGCTAGATTGTAAACTGATTGTGACACTTAACTAGGTGTAACAAATGAAAGGATCAAACACACTTTATTTACTTCAGACTGGATAGTCGATTAGCAACAGTATCACAGCCCTCACACAAATCAAATGAGATTTGTGTGGCGCATATGTATCTGGTGCCCCCTTGTATCAATATATATGTGTTCAAATAAATAAATAAATACACAAAAGACTCTACTTGTAACTCGGCAATTAAACCCATATTTATTTGAATACGTTACATATCTGTTCTATATTTTTGATAATGACCAACAACAGATATCAAACCATACCAATGAAAAAAATTCAAGTACAAATTAACAGGCAGAAAAAAATAACTTGAGACCAGAACACAAATATACCGTGGAGCAACGTCAGGAGATGCAGTCCCATGGTAGCTGGTGGCTAACAATTGGTTTATATGCCATTTATTCCCTTAGGATCCTGGAGCTCATGTGCATCATTGGTTTGGAATCGGGGTTTTTGAACTCCCCTATATTGAACCTCCATATCCATCAACCCAGTCAGTGCGGTACATTCGCTTATCGTTCTCTCAATTTCGTAAACAACACCCCTGGTGCGAAAAGGCAATGAGTAGGACTTTCCTGACATCGTTTGTATACGCGTGGCCATATGAGAGCATTTTGAGAGCGAGAGCGGACTCTCCACGCCCGTACCAAGTGATTTAGAGTATAGCTTGTACCCAAGCATAGAAATCTGTACTTGGCAAATCAGTTAAATAAAAATAAAAGAAACAAGCAGACTTAAAGACCTCATGTGTGCCAATAAAGGAGCGGTGAGTTATTGGTTAAACAAACTGAGTTTTAATCACTGGGGTGAAGGTTTCAACCCGCTCAATTCAACTCGTTAAGATTAACAACGCGCTATTTGTAGTACTATTTTTGAAAGCATGTATGGAAACTGAGTATATGAACCCATCCATAGTTAATGAATGAATTACAGCACTTTTATGGTTTTCGCGACATAGGCAGATAATCAATATGTAAGACTACCTGGAGCATGTGTGGATCTGTCCAAGTTGCTAATTCAAGTCAAAACTGAATAGTAAAAGGGTAGGAATAATAATAGTATAAACGACACCAAAGAAGACAATAGGAAATACGAACCGACGATGCAGAATGAAAGTGTCAAATAATGAAACCTAGAAAAGATAACTAATAAACGAATCTGCTCCATTATATATAATTTTGAACTGTATCACAGACTTTAACATCCACCCTATCATGCCCACTTGATACAGGCATCAAACATCAATGTTGTTCTAATGAGTGACAACTTCCAGTCCATTCATAGCACCTACTTTCAAAGACCACATTATAAATCAAGGTGTACGCCAGCACTCTGATAGACAATCTAGAAATTTGACTTCATCGCGAGTGCGATAGGTTGACGCAAGGCAAATCGATCTAAATTCATACCAAGTTTAGTTACTAAATGTTGCTTCTCTTCAGGTTAACTTGTCTTGATAATATACAGAAGTAAACATAAATTAAGGGGAATAATAGTGAAGATTAATAATAAACGAAAAGGAAATGTAATGAGAGTAGTTTAGTATTGTTCTTAGATGAAAGCAATAAATCTAATTCTTTTACTGTAATCAGAGTCATGAGCGTTTACAAATATAACCAAAACTTATATTTGGTAACCCATGTTAGTTTATTTTCGTTGATTTCGATAGGATAAAACGAATGTTTGAAACAAACTTCCTATGAAAATTAGTTCGCTACATAAACAGGATACAAAATTTCCTCTCTGTATTTTCCTTAAATACTGTTCATTTGATCACATATGTCTACGGCTATAACCCGGAGACCCCTAGAAAACTGGCACTCCCATAAACACTTGATTTATTCGATAGATAATACGTACTTATCAACTAAATGACTGGTTAATCTGGTTACTAGAGTGTAACAGAGATACGTTCAAATAGCTATAATTTACCAGCACAGCAAAGAGTACAATTATGATTAACTAAATAAAGATGTGATACAGGGATAAGAAACGAGCGATGTTCGAAATTCTAAGACGGATAAAAAGGGAATGCATTTGCTTTATTCAGATTAATTCCAGATTACGTCACCAAGTCTAGGACCGAATAAATAAATAAAAACCGATTATTTTTGGTAGTTTGAAAACACTTAGGAGTTCCACTTTATTCACATAACATAAATATTTACTGACTACACAAACGATACTATCAGAGATCTAGAGAGACATCATGAGTGACACACAACATGGCTATTTGTCAATGATCTATAGTTTTGCCAATCGACAAGTCGTTAATTTAATAAATTTTAAAAGCCTGAAGTTGTAAATCATTATAACATAAACTGTACTTATTCTTGATGAAAGCGGATAAAAATCTAGAATATATGAAAAAGCATCGGTTTATTTCTACTGGTTCCGTATACACAAACTCAAAACATACTTAAAGCTCGTTACAAATGTTAAGTTACTATTAGAAAAGTTCAGGTTACCAACGGAGGTGTAAGAAGCTAATCATAGTCACACATTCTCAATCCTTGTAGCCCCGTGATATACTAGTTCCTGAGCACATAGTAGGAATTTTGAAACTCGTACATAAATTACAGAACAAGGATGCAGCATTGGATTCCCAACCTAATTAAGGGAGTGAATCTGAAATGATAGAAAATGATCAGGAAAAAGTAGAGGCTATGGCAAACTATTCGGGGTAGTTTTCATTCAGGAGTCTCTTCTAGGCAAAGAACTAGACCTGAATACAAAGTCAACAAACCGTACTTAAGGCTCATAGCACATCAGACATGGAATAGTCAACAGGACCGGATGAACTACAGCCCAAAATCCTGAGACAATTTGCACAATATACTGTAGCCCAACTAACTGTGAAATTCAATATGTCACTCGACCAAGGTATGTTACCTACGGACTGGAAGGATGCAATCGTCACTCCAATACACAAAACAAAACCAAAACAACTTCCATCAAACTATGGACCTGTCAGACTCATTATTGTCGTAGTTAAAATACTGGAGAGAATAGTCAAAAAGACCATAATGACATTTGTGGAAACCAACAACTTGCTAAAAAGAGAACATAGTTTCAGAAAAAATTTATCTTGCACAACAAATCTAGAAAGAAAGCAATCGATAAAAGCTCTAGACAATGGAAAATCAGTGGATCTTTACACAGACAAGGTGCCAACAAATAGACAGCTATTGAAGCAAGAGAATCTTGGCATTGCCAGACCTTTCCTAAAGTGGCTTAACGATTTCCTAGTAGGTCGTATACGAAAAGTAAGAGAAAATTCGAAGTGCTCTCTTGGAGACCAGTACATAGTGGAGAACCGCAAGGTTCTGCTCTAGGTCCTTTACTTTTTACACTCCATGTAAATGATCTCCCAAGTATAGTTGAGTCCCAGTGTTATTATACGCTGGTAATGTAAAAACCTGGCGGGAAATAACGAGAGACGCAGAAGCATATGCATTTCAGGCAGACTTAAATATTGTGATTAGCTGGTCTAAAGAGTGGCTGATGCCTATCAACGCGGCAATGTCTACATGCACTTTGGGGATACTAAGACAAATAGGTACAGCATGGGTAAATTGCCTGTACTCGTGGTCCGGTTTCACAAGGATCTTGGGGTGACAGTGAGTCATGATCTTAAGACCACGGCCCACTGCCGGGAGGTAGCAGCTAAGCGGTTTATAACCCTACGGGCTTGAAGACGACATTCACCAAGTTAGAAACTACCATGCTCACCACAGTATACACAACCTCAGTGAGAACTAAGCTTTAGAACTGCATTCAGGCTACAAGCCCTTGTTTAAAATGTGACACGGATATCCTGGAAAAAGTACAGAGGGCAGCTACCTGTGCAATTCCGAAACTCCGAGGTTCACCATACAAAGAGCGGCTTGGAAAGCTAGACCTCTTTACTCTGTCCTATTGCAGATTAAGGTGATCTGATTTTGATGTATAGAATACTAAGAAATGATTTTGGACTCCACTCTCTTTCTTCCCACTAGATCGGGACATCTCAGAGAATATAGCAGGCGAGTAGAAAAGCCCCCAAATGCCCTGATACAGCCGAGAGTGGGAATAGTCCACTCTCATATGGCCACGTGCATACAACCATTGTCAGGTGATTCATACTCACTGGTTTCTCACACCAGGGGTGTTGATTACGAAGTTAAGAGGATGAAAAGCATATATCCGACAATTTAACCGCATTCATGGAGGATCCATCTAGGGTAGTTGGAAAACCCTCATTCCAAACCAATGGTGCACAAGGGCTGCAGTATCCTGTAGGAACAAATAGCGTAAGAAACAATCGTCGGTCACCGACTACCATGGGACTGCATCTGCTGATGTTTCTCCATTGTCTTGTGGATTAGATTTTTAGGTTGAAAGCTCTGGGTGTGGCCGCCCCCAAATGCCCTGGTACGGCCGAGAGTGGGGAGTCCGCTCTCCCTCTCGAAATGCTCTCATATGGCCACGCGTATACAGCCCCTGCCAGGGAAGTCCTACTCACTGCCTTCACGTGGCGGGGATGTTGTTTACAAAAATGAGAGGACGAAAAGCGAATGTCCGGCGCTATAACCGGACCTCAAACCAATGGTGCACATGGGCTGGCTCCAGTATCCTGCCTGAGGGAACAAATGGCGTATGAACCAATTTCTTGGTCACCGGCTACCATGGGACTGCATCTCCTCACGATGCTCCACTGCCTTGTGGGTTAGACCTTTAGGTCGAAGGCTCGGGGTGTGGCCCCCTAAGAAAACCACCTGCTTCCGTCTGAGCACCTGGGCAGTATCACAGCCCTCACACAAATCAATTGAGATTTGCGTGGCGCATATGTATTTGGTGCCTCCCTGTACCTATACTTATGTGTTAAAATAAATAATAATAATAAATATAAATCTGGGTGTGGCCTCCTAAGAAAACCACCTACTTCGGTTTGTGCACTCGGGCAATATCCCAGCCATCACACAAATCGAATAATTCGTGTGGTGCATATCTATTTGGTGCCTTTTTGTACCTATGTTTATGTTTAAATAATTTATTGATTTATTTATTTATTTGAACACATAAATATTGGTATAGGGGGGCACCAAATATATATGCGCCACACAAAACAATGATAAATTGAAGAGAAGGAGAAAAGAGAAAAAAAGTAATGAACGTGGGGAATTATAAAAAAAAGGGAGAGAGAACAATGGTGGGGGAAACGGAAAGGTACAATCAGAAGAGATCTTTCAGTTAAGGAAAATGCAACCACTTTTTATGAAGAAAGTAAGAGGTTACAGCACGATCGCCACTGGCTTCTATTCTTAGCCATATCTGATAACGTCTCTAGCCACTGCGTTACACCGTCTCTCGGACCCCAACCAGGGAGTCGTGAAGGACCAACAGAAGCTAGCCCCGTGGCATACAGGTTTTTACATCGAGTCATCAATTCTAGGAACCCGTTACCCGAAGCAGTTGTGTCCGCACCTTTAATTGACTCATTTAAGAGACTAGACACTCACAGAAGCATATTAAGAAAGGAAAAGGCCTTCTGTCCTTACTACGCAGAAATCACAAAATTATCCAAGCACTTGAGTATAAGCAACACTTGAAGTGTGATGGTTAATGATACTACCCGGTTGACCAAAACGAAATACGTACAGGCAGTAACTTAAAAGCAGAATAAATAAACGTGTACTGGGCAAGTGAATTAAAATGTTGCAATGATATTATATAAATTCAATTGTAAAATAAATCCAGTTTTAGTCTTACTACCCAAATCTATATAAACTGTTAGGGACATAGTATGCAGTAAATTTCTTGTAACGTGACACGGATATGGTATATAATCTAAGAATCGAAACCGTATAAACACTTTGATGTTCAAAATTGTAAAAGCCGGGTAGTCAAACTTTTCCTGAATAACTTATTTTTATGAATTAAAAGTGAGTTGATTTCACGAATAACCAAAGAATTGAAAACTTTGTATGCTCAGTTAGTGAATATAGCCATGATTCCGATCTGCAACCTAACGGTAAACATTTAAATACTTTACTCACTAAGCAATATCGCTTGTCCAACATAGAGACTAGCTAATAAGAACGATCACGTCATCCAATAAAACATACAAGATATGCGAAGAGGTCAATGTGCTTGACTAAGTTACGGAACAAGGCAACGTGTGCTAGTTTTGAAATATCTTATACTGAGAATAAGAGTAACGCCTAAAATATTTACTGACGAAATCTAAGATAAATCTTGACTAAATAAGACTGTCATCTGAGCGCCTCAAATCAATAAATTTATACTCAATCCCTGAAAAATCAGACGTGAAAGTTATGTCTAAGATGATATCTATGACATTCGAAAAAATTGAAAGTGAGCGACAATAATGAGCGTAATAGAACGAATCCTCATAAGCGCTGACACGATCAAGTGTTCAAAGTGGAGATATTGTATTGCTGACATGGGGAAAATATACAAAGATCGTGAAACCATAAACTGGAATAGCTGACTTAAGTATATGTAAAGCTCGAAGTTGAATGCATAGACCAGAACGAGTTAAGACGATTTATTGCTTTACACGCCTAATTACCAGATAACTTGGCATTTCTTCTGGTTGGAATATTGCTAAACGAAAATAGGGTGACGTCATCCAGTCAGTCAGTAACAACGTAGAACTTCTAACGTACATACATCAGTTCGAGTTGCCATAATACAATAGGACATAAATACAATTGTCAATTCAAATCCCGTAATGGTAGAGGTAGTAAAAGTATAAGCAGTAACAGGAAAGATTAGGATTTGAAGATATCATTCAAGGGATATAATCCAGTGAAACAAATTTGACAGTGACAATATAGAATATTAGAATTTGGGAGAACATAAAAAGAGAATGCACCTGTGTCATTCTAGGTTTTTAACCATCGGATGTTATCGTCTCGTAAATCCCAACCAGGTAATGTACACCTACCAACATAGCTCAAAAGACTTGTCAGTGGCTTCATAGATTTGTGCCATGTGTTTGTCTGGCCGCCCACTAGCTTTCATACCCATAACAGCAAACGAGACCAAGTTGGTTAGATTAGAATTTAAAAGAACACAAAGAGTGCATGTACCTGCGCCATTGCAAACGATTTTGTTCTATGTCACCCAAACAAAGTAGGACCATTATTTCATGAAGTTATTGATTAAAGGTGCAAAGAGCCTATGATTTAGTATGGATTCATAATGTAGGTGTACTCATTAATTTATTTATGAATAATGTTAACAAGATACATTATCTTTATAATTTGTGTTGATCTCTTTTCATGTAACTAATCATTTCTATAGATTACAACATATATAACATGGTTTATGATTGAATTTTAAAAATATGATAATGCACAAATTATTGATTTTTACATAAAACTATTTCACATTAAATTGCTTGTTGCATACAGTAAATTTAGTGCTTTTGGAGTTCAATCATGTGGTACGTACTGAATTCTTTTTGTTGTTGTTGTTGTTGTTGTTGTATAAAGCAAACACCACAGGAATTAAAACAATATTAAGTGTATTTACATAAAATGTAAATTGTAACTTCATGTTGTTATGTCACAGCAGAAAGGTGGTAGGTTCCCTATATTAAGTTGTATAAAATGAAGACCACCTTATTGTTACCAACGCAAAGAAAATGCTTCAGACATTTCAGTTATGCCTAGATATTTTTTTTTAGCTACAATCCAATTATTCAGTAATTTTCTGACTTTTTTATTTATTTATTTTATTTAAACACGTAAATGTTGGTACAAGAGGGCATCAAATATATATGCGCCACACAAAACAATGAGAATTTAAAGAGAAGGGAAAAAACCAAAGTAAGGAGCTTAGGGAGAAAGAACAATAACGACCAGATTAGTGTAAGGTAGTAATAATGAGGGAAACGAAAAGGTACAATCAGAAGAAATCTTTCAGTTAAGGAAGAAGCAACCGCTTTTTACGAAGAAAGTGAAAGAAGGTTACAGCAGGATCTCCACTAGCTTCAATTCTGAGCCATATCTGTTAACATTTCTAGCCACTGTGTTACACCATCTCTCGGACCCCAACCAGACAGTCGTGAAGGAAACTGTCTTAGTTGTTAGGCTATTTACTACACGACGTTAAACGACCACAATATTGTAATTTGTTTATAACGATTTCGGTGAGACTATAATTTATGGACGATATTTGAGTGAATCTAAAGAGAAATTGACTATGTCCACCAACATAATACGACTAAATGAGGGTTTTAAACCCGTGTGAGTAATTAGGATTAATATTTACAGTTGATGGTTAGTATTAGGAATTAGATATATGGTTTTCAACACGAACTGACATGAGCTATAATGCCAAAACTCTATCGCGCCAAAATCTAAAACCTGTTATCGTAAATCTGATTGGTTCCTCCATAAATTATAGTCACTAACTTCTGGTCTTAGCGATGTTATTAGATGCAGACTACCTGATTGAGGTCCACGTGACTATCGTAACCAATGGTTGGAGACTGAGTGACAGGGAATTATGGTAAATCAGTTGATGAGCTTGTGAATCTACACCGACTGAGATGGTTAAGCCACGTGTTGCGTATGCCTGAACACCGATTACCACGACGCGTATTGCTGAATAGTGTTGGGTATGGTTGGAAGAACGTAAGGCACGGACAAACCAAAACGTGGTATCAGTGCTTGAAGACACTAACTTCTAGTCAGAGCCATGTTAGTAGATGCAGACTACTTGGTTGGGGTCCGTGTGATTATTGTAACCAATGCTTGGAGACTGTGTGTGACATGACTCAGAATCGATCACAATGGTGTAGGTGTATACACTTTCTGTCTTCCTTCAAACTAAGAGATTAAAATAGCTTCATATCTTCCTGTACTATCTCCTTATATGGAAACTTTCTTCTATATATTACCACCACTGAATTAACCGCTTCTATGAATCCGGTGTTCATCTTGTTGTGCTAATGCGGTATGGCAACTTGGACCGATGCATATACGTGCCTGGTCCTACGTTGCAGCTGACTGACTGAAATTATAGTCTCGTTACCATTTTTTTTTTCATTATTATTTAAAGACTAAAATCCAAAGATCAAACATATTTACATAAGCAATCAATAAAGATACTTACAGGATGATATATATTCTGATCTAAATTTTCATTATATAATTGACTATCACATTGTTTTGTTGAATTATTATCATTAGTATGATTAAATGATTGATGATGTGATATATCATGATTAATATTTCCATCTGGTGTATTTACAATTGCACAAATACCATTTTCTAATTTATTAGATTTATATGTTCTTCTAATAGTGACTTTAAGTGAATGAAAATTTTGATCTATATTACCATTCATTTGAAATCTTGTTTCACATTTAGATTTTTTACGTAATTTTCGATGATTTATATATCTTCCAGTTTTATTATTTATCTCTTGAGATGTATGATGATTATTATTGAATTGATTTGAATATTTCGATTTGAAATCATGACGTTGTACTCGATTTGATTGAGTAAAACAATTAGATCCATTCGTTGGATGTATCCGTGATAAAACAGGAGATAATCCAGTTGTTTTAGAAGTGACATTTGTACAATATATTCCTTGATGTTGTTGTTGTTGTTGTTGTTGTTGATGATTATTATTATTATTATTAGATTTTGATGAATCATTTGATGATAACATTGTTGTATTAGAACAATGTTTATCAAGATATACATTAGATGAAAGTTCAGTAGTAGGACCACGATGTCGCATACTTTCAATCATAGAAAAAACAATATCCTAATCAATTGATAACAATGAAATAAATGCGTAATTGTGTATAGTTATTAAAATTTCAACATGAATATAATCCATATCACAGATACATTGCGGATATTTTGTCTTTATCAATCAATTAAAAAAAAAACAGAAAAAAAAAAAGAAGAGAAATCCACGGTTTATTGATCTTTTGAGAAAAGCCTAGGTTAACTGACTAAGTTCTCTTTGTGTGTTTGTTAAAATTACAAAAATCGTAACCTACGTAGGTTTTCTGTATAGTTGTGATCAGTCTGTCTATCTCTTATATATATATTTTAAATTAATTTTGTATATATATTAAATAGAGTGAGACAGACATGTCATCCAATCAACAACCTTGAAATTAATCAATACTCTTTTCTGATTGGTTATTTTGATAAAGCTGTGCATAAATTAATTTTAATAACAAAGCTATTATTAGAGAAGGGAAGGGTGGGGGATGATAATGAATTGTTATAAACAAAATGGTAATTATGATTCATCTTTAATAAAAATGATGATGTCTCATCCAAATTAGTCGGCCCTATAATATAATCATCTATATGTTTTATGTCTGATTGGTATAGTGTATAGGGTATGACGACTTATTTGTAGCCCTTGAGAATTAGGTCAGTGGAATGATGGTAACTATTACTTAAGTAATGTTAAATTGAGAAGTTTGTGAAGTCGTCTAGTACTTCCAAGTTTTCCATAATGGTCTAGCTTCAATTGACTCATGATTACAACTATTGGAATTACAACAATCTCCACATAACCTCTTTTGATACTAATCAATATATGCTCACTAGTGTTTGACTTCAAGAGAGGTATATCCTAAAGTTCTAATGAGAAGCAATGACTAGTGTAATTCAACTGAATCAGTTGTGAGATAGTAACTCATTGATGTTAATGGTGAATATGTCGCTCAATTTCGTGTATTAGTTGAACTTAGAATATGATACCGTTGAATGACATTAGATTCAGTGGTCTAGAGGTTAAGTGATCGCTCACGAGGCTGATAGGACCTAGGTTCGAATCCCATGAAGCGGGATCGTAGATGTTCACACAATATTCCATAATAGGACGAAACGGTCGTCCATTGCTTCCAGGTTTTCCATGATGGTTTAGCTTCAATTGACTCATGATCTCAACTACTGAAATAACTTTGGCTTTTAATTTTAGTCCATTAACTAAGATGATAAAGCCTATATATACCCAACGTAATTCATAACATAAAAATTATCAGCCGAAATGTTATTTTTAGTTGAACTTAGTAGTTGGGGTTTGTGTAATTTACCAAACTGGATTTTTTCGACTTTTATTATCATACGATGATATTACCAGACAAATTATAGTTACTGTTGGTCTATTATCTATGTACGACACACAATGTTGACTAGTGTTGGAGATAGTTGAAAGAAAGTTAGCGGCGGCTATACCAAAACTTGGCATCCGTCATTGAAGTCACTAACTTCTAGTCTGAGTCATGTTGGTAGATCCAGACTACTTGGTCGGGGTCCACGTGACTATGGTAACTAATGATTGGAATCTCTGTGTGATATGGCTCATAATCGATCACAATGGTGTAGGTGTATACACTGTCTTCCTTTAAATTATAAGATTAAAATCGCTTTATATCTTTCTACTAACCAATTCTTTCTTCCTCTACTATGTCCTTATACACAATCTTTCTTTTATATATTAACATCATTGAACTAACTACTTCTATGAACCCGGTGTTCATCTTGCTGTGCTAATGTGGTATAAACACTTGCACTGATACACATATGTACCTGGTCCTACATTGTAGTTAACTGACTGACTATCTATGTAGATATTTTTCAGCAGGTATAAGGTATGAACGTAATTGAAAAAGTCATTCATTTGCTTCCTTGTTACAATTATTCATAAAAAGCGGAAATCTAACTTAGTAATTCACATAACATTTGATTATCTACAAGTCTTCAAGATATCGGCTAGGTAATAACAGCAAGATCACATTTGTTTATTACATTCCTAAGATGGATATAAATAAAATTGTCAGTCAGTTAGTCAGCTGTAACGTAGGACCAGGCACGTATAGGCATCGGTCCAAGTGCCATACCGCATTAGCACAACAAGATGAACACCGGATTCATAGAATTAGTTAATTCAGTGGTGGTAAAATATAGAAGAAAGATTGTGCATAAGGAGATAGTAAAGGAAGAAAGAATTAGTTCCTAGAAAGAAAGATTTGAAGCTATTTTAATCTCTTAGTTTGAAGGAAGACAACGAGTGTATACACCGACGCCATTGTGATCGATTCTGAGCCATGTCACCAAGAGTCTCCAACCATTGGTTACGATAGTCACACGGACCCCAACCAGGCAGTCTGAATCTACCAACATGGCTCAGACCAGAAGTTAGTATCTTCAAGCACTGATGCCACGTTTTGGTTTGGCCGTGCCTTACGTTCTTCCAACCATACCCAACACTATTCAGTATTACGCGTCGTAGTATTCGGTGTTCAGACATGCGCAACACGTGGCCTAACCATCTCAGTCGATGAAGGTTCATAACCTCATCAACTGACTTACCATCATTCCCTAATACCCTGCGTCTAACCTCACTATTACTTAACTGGTGATCCCAGCAGATACCCGCAATATTTCTAAAGCAACTGTGGTCAAATACTAGTAACTTAAAGGCCATGTTTCGCAGCGGTATAGTACAACGGAACGAACCGCCGCGTAGTATACTCGTCCTTTAATTGATAGACGAATATCTCGCCTTCACCATAGATGACGTAAGTTGGCAAAGGCCAAACGAGCTTTTCGAATCCGTGCTGATATTTCGTCAGACACCGACCCATTAGGGCTGACCAGACTTCCAAGATAAGTGAAGTTGTCGACGCGTTCGACTACTTCACTCCCTATCCTTAGTTCAGGTGTTGACGCAGACCAGTCCTGAAGCAACAACTTGCATTTAGAGGGAGAGAAGCGCATTCCAAACATTCTGGCATTATTGCTCAGTGCTACCAAAAGACTGCATTTTATCAGCGTGTTCACCAAACAGGACTATGTCATCTGCGTATTCTAAGTCGATAAGTGGACCTCCTGGTAGGAGATCAATACCCGAGAATTCAGTCGATGAGAGCGTTATTTCCATCAGTAGATCTATGATGAAGTTGAACAAAAATGGAGAAAGTGGACAGCCTTGTCGGACGCCTCTTGAGGTTGCAAAAGCAGATGACAGTTCACCATAAGCTCTGACTCGACTAGTAGTGTTCGAGTAAAGAGCCTTCACAAGGTTTATGTACTTCTGAGGTACGCCTTCCAATGACAGACACTGCCACAGAACCTCTCGGTCTACAGAGTCAAGCGCTGCTTTTAAATCAAGGAAGACCATAGTTTCCGTATTTCTAGTCGAACGCATTACTGTATCCTTCCAAGTTTACTGTGAATTCCAACATTTGATCTATTTGTGTAGAATGTGAACATGCTACTTGATACAGTTTAAGTAAATACAGCCAGTTTGAATGGTTGCTCAGTGAAAATTTCCGTTGTTCGTAGCGCTACCGTCGCCATTCAGTAAGTTTCTGTTATTCTGAATTTCACATCATCATGGATTGAAACCATATATGACTTTGTGATGTCTGTGATTATTGTTGATCAGAAGTTAATCCTCTGGAAGTATCAAGTCAATAAAATACCATTGATTTGTAGTTATATCATCATGACAATCAATATATAATCATATTCCTAAACATTGATTATGAAACATTGATCTCTAAATTAGCGTACACAGAATCCATAACTGAATTTCAAATGGGTGTTTGGATCAACTTGGTCACATTCCAGTTAATCAGTTTCCTGTTTCCTTCCATCATTCTATGACTGACCAATTGAATTGTGAAATTTCTACATAAGTATATCTAGGTTGACCAGCTATACAATATGAATGTGCTTTATCATTAATTAAGAACAATGAATATCATAATATATTGATTTTATACATGAGTGTCAATATTACTTCTGATACCGTTGTAGGGCCACTGAAATGTTAATGAGTTCTAGTCAAATCATCCGGTATTTGGGTCATTGAATATCGAACAGATCATTGATCCCTGTCAAAGTCAAGGATAACCAGCTTGCATCAGTTAATCATATGCTATTGACCAACCCATACAGTGATGGTCTCTATCTCTTCTCTATACTGATTCTTACTAATATACTTCCATAACAACATCCTTTATGTTATACGGTCTTCAAAACAACCATAGAGGTCATTCATGTTAGATGCTGACCTCGAAGTGTGATTTCAAAGTTATCTGGTTCATTACACCATTCCTGTCTAATTCGAGTAGGCCTACAATCATTTGACATAGATCATTTACATTGGTGATCTACACCATAATCGGTCATCTACATCATTCTGTTATCCTAATAAATATAACGATAAATGTTTGTTCTATTTATTCTATTAAATACATTGATTGAAAAGTTCCCTAAACTAAAAGTACTGTATACATTATTTGAATGAACAAAATTATTGATTTTTATGTCAGACAAAGGTCATGTATACATTTGGTTACTTATTTGTACTTCCCATTGAAGTACATTTTATTGTATTATGATATATACAATTCTATAGTTTATTAAGATAATATGTCATTTTGTTATCATATCTTTGTGTACTTTTCCCATAAATCAATCAATTCAGAAGGACATGTCATCATCCTCATTGATTTAGTAAAAAGACGTACAATCAAACAAAGTAATTAATCACAATTGATTGATCACTGGATGGTGACCAATATCATGCGTGTCTAGTCCTTATTATTAGTGCAAATCGAATACTATCGATCATGTTGCAATGTGGCCACCAGTTTAGGTGACTCGACACTGCGGGCACTATTGTGAGATTAGATGGTCGATAGCATTCGATATGCACTAATAATAAGCACTAGACAAGCATGACATTGGTCACCACCCAGTGATCAATCAATTGTGATTACATGTCAGTCCTACAGGAGGTCGGTCGCGGCCCGGATAGCTCAGTGGTAACATTTCTGACTGTGAAGCTGGGTGACACGGGATCGAATGCATCAGGGAGCACCAGTTCCCTCACAGATTACAGGTACACTTTGCTGACGAGTGCCAAGTAGCACGAAACCCGGGTCCAGGGTTTCCTGTCGACCACCTCCAACCACCATCTAAAGTAATTAATCATTGGAATATTCTTAAGTTGAACTTGTAAATTACACAATAGATGACAAGTTTAAGAATGATATTGATTCAACAGGGAAACTTCGAAATAAGTAACTTAATTGTATTGCGTTAAATGAAGAAAATAAATTTGTAGCGAATTATCCTAGAGATATTGATTAATTTGAACATATAAATATTGATGCAAAGCGGCACCGAATATATATTCGCTACATAAATCACTTGATTTGTGTGTGGGCTACGATACTGTACCGGTGATCAGATCGGAGGTAGTTTTCTTAGAAGGTTATTCTCGGAGCCTTTGACCTAAAGGTTTGATTAACAAGGCAGTGGAGCAACATCAGGAGATGAAGTCCCATGGTAGCAGGTGACCAACAATAAGTTCATATGCTATTTGTATCCTGGAGCCTATGTCCATCATTGGTTTGGAATCAGTGTTTTCTAACTTCTTTATATTCATCAAACCTCTTAAAGCTCCAGACATTCGATTTTCCTCATCTCAACTTCTTAAACAACAGCCCCGCCACGAAAAGTCAGTGAGTAGGACTTCCCTGACCTTGTTTGTATACGCGTGGCCATTCCCAGAGAGAGAGAGAACTGAACATTCCTAACATCGGCCTTCATAACCGTTATTAAATAAATCCCAACAGATTATAAATTCAGAAGATAACAAAAAGTGCCAACTACAGTTTATTGTTGAATAGCATACTTCACTAAGCCATAATCACACCAAACGAATTCAAGTGAAAAATGCTGATGCGAGCGAGCGAATACAGAGGTGAGTTCAAGTCGTGGAAACAATCTAATGGAGAGTTGAATGGATCAATGAGATTCAAGCACATATATATGAAGAAATTGAATAATTCATCGAGCGATTTAAGCAACCAACATTTATGCTAGAATGAGGGATATATGCGTAAGCGGTCACTTGTGATCAAGCATACATGTTCATACAGTATGATAATACCAAAACATGTAAATTGTTACTATACAGATAACACACTTAAGTGTAGGAGATGTGCTATAAGCTCAGGGTCTAATCTTCTATGATAGAAACGTGTTTATAACATAATTTATCAGTCTGTAATAATAAAAAAAGTCATTCAGTTCAATTTTCCGTTACTGCATCAGTATGATGCATCTTGAAAATTAAACTAAAGAGTCCAGATTGTTCAAAACAGGTTTTAAGGATATCCAGATATCCTTTCTCTCACCTATTGAGGTGAACTTTAGTTTTAGTCAATGGTCTATACATCAAACTGTAGATCAGCAACGTAGATTATCTATGTCGAATGATTTGAAGCCAGCCAACGTCGAAGTCACACCTCGTGGTCAACACCTTACGTGGACTACCCTATTGATATATTAAGGTATTGTAAATGCTTTGAAGACTGTACAAAAAAAGAACGTTATTACAGAAATATATAAGTTAAAGTAGATACAAGCGATAGTAAGACAACCGCGACATGGATCAGTCCAATTGTGTACGACTAACTAATGTGTGTTGGTCGTCCTTGACATTGACAGGGATCGATGGTCGGTTCGATATTCAGTGACCCAACTGCCAAATGATTTGGTTAGGGCTTAGTGACATTTCATTGGCCCTATAAAACTAATGCCAACAATCGTATTCATTCTGTCACCATTCTTGGCAATTTATTAAGTTTAATCGTCTCTCAGAAGAATGATGATGACCTACATGACATTGATCACCAGTCAACGATCAATCAATTAAGAATACATCTCAATCCTACAGGAGGTTAGTCGCTGCCTGGATAGCTCACTAATAACATCTCTGACTGTGAAGCTGGATGACACGAAATCGAATCCCTCAAAGTACATCAGTTCCCTCAAGATGACTGATACACTTTGCTAACGACTGCCAAATAGTACGAAACCTAGGTTGAGCAAGCCTTCCTATTGACTATCTCTAATCACTATCTTATCACAGTTTCATCAAATCAATCTTGTTACAAATATCTTTCAATAAAATCATATTAGTTGATTGTCATCTTTTTTCATGAGATATAATAAACAGTCAGTCGTAAATAAAAAAAAAAGAAAATGCATTACATCTTGATTATTCCAAATCAATTTCTATTTCCTGCAGCAATACGGAAGACTCCCTCGGTCTCCCACATTGTACGAGCATTCTATATACCTAAATTAATAGTTGCTCTGGTTATCACAAGGGGCATCAGTTTCGTGACTTCCAAAGGAACTCGGCTTTCACCATGAGGTGTCATTAGTTCTTCTAAATGAACACCTTCTAACTCCCAGGACAGAGTCTAAATAGTTTGAACTATTTTTTCTGGTTAGCGTTTTTTAGCGAGTTAGTTTTCTACGGGATAGTGTTGTTAATCCCATGCCCAACCTTACTACTTTATTCAGGCATGGGACCATCAGTAGTCCCAGAGGGGCTCCAGGCCGAGTCAAATCTATTTCTATAATGATCAGGAATGATCTAAGATAAAAAAAAATCAATAAAATCATTCATTCATTTATTCAGTAAAACAAATGATCTTAGATCAATTTCGAATTTCAAAAAAGGCGCTTAAAAGAAATAATTAATCAATAAAAAAAGAAAAGTGTAAAGTAAAAAAAAAGGAGAAAAAGTATATATTAAATTTTGTAACGATTTATCAAAATTGATGAATGATAATGGGAATATTGATAAAATGATCATTTATAAATGAACCAATCAGATTTACGATAATAGATTTTGAATTTTGGCGCGATATTCATTCATTCATTCATTCGTTTGGCTAAATAGCATTTTGGCATTATAGCTGATGTCAATTCGTGATGACCCTCCCCCCCCCAACGAAAATCTAATTTATAACCTTAACCTTACTTAGTTACTTACTCGTGTTACTATTGATGAAGGAGCATAGGCTGCACACAAGGATTCTCCATCTAACCCTGTCCTGGGCAATACTTTCCAGTTCTTGTTCACCTTTTTCATATCTGATTTTATTTCACGACGTAATGTGTTGTTTGGCCTTCCTCTTTTCCTCTTCTCTACAGGATTTCAAGTTAGGACTTACCTCGTAATGCAGTTTGATGATTTGCGTAATCTATGTCTTATCCATTTCCATTATCTTTTCCTAATTTCCTCTTCAGCTGGAAGCTAGCGTGTTCTCTTTCACAGAAGGCTGTTGCTGATGATATTCAGTCCATGGATGTTGAGTATCTTGCGTATTTTGCTTGTACCTTCTTGATGGTGATTGTTGTAGTTCTACAAGTTTCAGCTCCGTACATCAATTATAAATTATAATTCTATATCCGCATATTGGTTTGTAACTATGATTTAATTCTAGTCAGAATGTGAATCTTCTCAAGGTGATTTTAAAGTCTTTCAATAGTAATTCATAAATTATGGTCTCATGGAAATTTCTGAACTAAACTAAGTAAACTTCAGTCAAGTATATTATCCATGATTCCTAAATTTAAAACAAAGTGATCTAGTGGTTAAGCTCTTGAGCGCTAGACTAATAGATTCTGAGTTCGAATCTCACGAGGTAGGATCATGGATACGTACTGCTAAGGAGTTCCACATTAAGATGAAACAGTTTTCCAGTACTTTCAGGTTTTCCATGATGGTCTAGTTTCAATTGACTCATGATCACAACTATTGAAATTACTATAATATCCATAAGAACCTCTTGTAATATTAAATACAATTATAAACAATTGATCATTGAAGTAGTATATTTGATAAAGAGTAAGCTCTATAAGAATAACTAGTTTGGAACTATATTAATTAATAATTATCAATAGTATAAATAATGTGGCTGATTCTATAAAGATTCTCCAAACACATATCACTATGGAACTATTAGGAAGATAATAGTCTGATTATAGACAAACAGCTAAAAGGAGGATGGTATTGGAGTTTGAATGAAGAAAAAATATTTTATCATTAAAATGAATTGTTTTCTGTATGATCTAGTGTTTAAAGAGCAGTTCACCATTTAGGAGATGATTAATATCTTTGTCTATTTATGATATTGGAAAAACCGATAGCTAGAAATCTTGCTTTGTCAGATTTCAGGTGGTTATAACCCACCCTCTTTCCAGACAAACAAGTTGTTGAAGCCTATTTGACCCTTCTGGAGAGAAACAGGCTACATCGAAGCACGACACAACTACCGAGGCTAGAATAGTTGATTTTATCAACCCGTTGGAGTTTGTCCTATGACGAGCAACTCCGTATGTTACATGCACCACATTTGAAAACTTTTTTGTCGTTTTCCAATCCAAATGTAATTGTTCTGTGTTTCTCGGTGATCTCCACCACCCGGGTTACCGCTCACGTTAGTTCATGAGTCATTCGTCCCACTATCCAGGAGGCACAACGAGGACGTGTGAGTCGGATTTTGCCTCCCATGTGGTAATAACATGTTACACAAATGTAATCAGTATCTATTCATTATCTATTAACTGACAGACAGTTTGTATTCAACACACCTATGGAGTAATGAAGTGGGAAATCAAATACACAGACTATTTGTGTATTACACAAACGACCACTCAGAGGTATGAACGGTCATTTCAAGAAGCTAACCATTGTTTAACATTTGCTATCCTGTTTTACAATATAAACGTTAATTTACAATTTACCTACTTCTCTGTCAATACATGTTTCCAAACCATACTGTTAGGTCACTCAACAAACTTCTCCTTAGAATTCTCATTATGTGCTTTGGAAACAATTACTTCATTCACTTTACACTTTGATTTCTCCTATATCGGATTTCACTTAGTATATTCCATCATTATTATTTATACTGTGGTTATCAATCTTCTTTGAAACTTTTCAAAAGCTGTAGGGGACTTAAGCTAGGATAAACAACACCCAAATAAGATCAATGAAGAGACGAATTGGGCCATTAAAGAACAAATAATATAAAGAAAAAAATTTTCTTTCTTTTCTTTTAAATCATTTACTGAAACTGTTCAATTGTATTTAGCGTTGTTTAACATTGTAGCGTGGTGTCGAGTTGAACTTGACTATGAACACCGCTACAAGACTACATGCCAATTAATCAATAAGATCCTCGTAGATCAATATTAGAAGGCAGATAATAATAGTAGTTGAAATATATTTGCTGGCAATCTCGTGGTATCGAAAGAGTACCGAGATCGTGCCAAAGGAGTACAAATGCGATCAGCAAGGAAAGGTACGTGCGTAGTCACAAACCACGTAGAAGTAATGGATTATAATGGAAGACCAAAATGGCTGTTATTAGCACAGTTAAACAAACGAGCACAATAAAACAATCACTGATACAATTGGTTATAATAATAATAATAATTGTTTTCATCGAACCAATCGCGTTCTGTTGACAAAAGTAGGTCACTACAACATATAGAGTAGCTAAACTATATAAATGGGTTAATAGGTGAATATTACTAAAGAATCTCATACTTGGACGAAACAGATTTCTATAACATCCTGGTTATTTCCACAGATATGAAGTATCACAACACATTTGCGTAATCATTTTTCGGTTAAAGGAAAGAGAAATCGAAATAAAATAAGTGTAATATAAAGAGAATTGTCCACTTGTAGAATATGAATGAAGCAATTCATTTAGATAGGATGTAACAAAAATACGAAGTTTACCAATTACCATAGTTACAGTATCCATCTATCGAAAATACTAATCACTAAGTATGGAATAGATTTTATCGATCTATAATAATAACAACAACAAACCTTTATTCGTACATTCATTCATTCGAAACTGTAAAATTAATAGACCATGAAATGTAATTTCAAAAAAGATATAGTTACATCGAATATTAATGGTCTTCCTTAAAGGTATCTTTGTATACAGAACATTTAAATATAAGTGATATATCACCACGAATCAACACTTTAACTAATCCCTAAATAAATGTGTTTAGCTAGTAATTAGAAGTTCAGTAGAGCATTTAATGAAAATATGAAGTATGCCCCCAAGCCATATGTAGATTTGAAAGAACTACTACTACTACTACTACTACTACTACTACTACTACTACTACTACTACTACTACTACTACTACTACTACTACTACTACTACTACTACTACTACTACTACTACTACTACTACTACTACTACTACTACTACTACTACTACTACTACTACTACTACTACTACTACTACTACTACTACTACTACTACTACTACTACTACTACTACTACTACTACTACTACTACTACTACTACTACTACTACTACTACTACTACTACTACTACTACTACTACTACTAATACTACTACTACTACTACTACTACTACTACTACTACTACTACTACTACTACTACTACTACTACTACTACTACTACTACTACTACTACTACTACTACTACTACTACTACTACTACTACTACTACTACTACTACTACTACTACTACTACTACTACTACTACTACTACTACTACTACTACTACTACTACTACTACTACTACTACTACTACTACTACTACTACTACTACTACTACTACACCTACGACTAACTACGACTACTACTACTACTGCTACTACGACTACTACTACTAATCTGTTCAAATCAGATACATTTCTTTTTGGTGCCTGAAATTAGAAAATTGTATTATGTTCTTTTGAATACTCATTTCATCATTATGAAAACACAAATCGCTTACATGTCATTGTGATTTGAGTTCATCTATGATCATTAATCGGTTATAATGTTTTCTTATTATTTCTTTGATCGTTATATTGATCTTTTTTTTTTTGATGTATATTCATAAAGAATAGGCTGAACATTTTATTAACATGAAAGTAATTTCATTCTATATATCCTTATGTTTAATCAATTGATCGATAGTTCTGTCTTTGTCAACATATTCAGTTGAAATTGTTCAAGTTAATGTCAAGGATTAAATGATAAGTTGGATCCGTTTGTTTATTATCATAGAAACTCACTTGTTTAACATTGAACATCAGGATAGGATGGTTAATACAAATAGAATCATTACAATAGTAAAGGTTTATCTATTCAATTATATACAATATTCTATATTTGTAAAACAAAAAAAACCCCCCTGTTATTAGAAATGTCAAACAGATTAGCTATTTTAATGTTAACATGTCAATAATAGATTATGTGGCTATCAATTCAATATAATACATAGGGAAAACAGCAGGAAATCAATTTTAGATATAATTTATAGATCATTCATTCTTATTCTATTTATTCATTATAAATAGATATTGATTATTGATTGATCTCAATTGTAGAATTAATTGAAACCAAGAAGTTCTAAGAGGGTATTTTGTCTTAGTATGGAATTATTCATCAGTGTGATTTAGTTACCAAGAATACTTTAAGTAAAAACATTTTTAAATCATATTTGTCTAACGAGTCTCAGAATAGGACGAAATAGTCGTTCAATACTTCCAAATATGGCATTTCTTTCAACTGAAGAACATATGGAACTCAAAACAACTTTCAACCAATATCAAAGTCAGAATCTTCAATACGAACGTCAAGGCAGTTCTACTGTAAGGAGCTGAAACTTGGAGAACTACAACAACCACCATCAAGAAGGTATAGGTATTTATTAATAGCTGTCTACTCAAGATACTCAACATCCATTGGCCGGATACCATCAGCAACAGCTCTTTATGGGAGAGAACCAACAAGCTTCCAGCTGAAGAGGAAATTAGGAAAAGACGATGGAAATGGATATGACATACATTGAGGAAATCATCAAACTGCATTACGAGACAAGCGCTAACTTGGAATCCTGAAGGGAAGCGGAAAAGAGGAAGGCCAAACAACACATTACGTCGGGAAATAGAATCAGATATGAAAAAGATGAATAAGAACTGGAAAGAGCTTGAAAGGATTGCCCAGGACAGGGTTGGATGGAGAATGCTGGTGAGCGGCCTATGCTCCTTCACGAGGAGAAACAGGCGTAGGTAAGTAAGTAAGTAACTTCCAAATATTCTATGGTGATCTAGATTCAATTGATTCATGATCTCAACTATTGTGAAATTATTATAATATCCACAAAAACTCCTTCTGATATGAATCAACACATGTTCACTAGTGACTGACTTCAAGAGGTATTTCTTGAAGTTCTAATGAAAAGCAGTGATCAGTGGAGTTCAACCGGGTCAGTTGTGAGACAATGGTGGATGGGTCGCTCAGTTTTGTGGATTTGTTGAAGTCAGACATGTCGGAAAGTTCAATGATCTCGAGGTTAAGCGCATACGCGTGAGACTGATAAGTCCTTGGTTCGGATCTCGCAAGGTGGGATCGTGAGTGTGCACTGCTGAGAAGTCCCACAATAGGACGAAACGACCGTCTAGTGCTTTCAGATTTTCCATGGTGATCTAGCTTCACTCATGATCTCAACTATTGTGAAATTATTATAATATTCACAAAAACTCCTTCTGATATGTATAACGTATGGTTCAAAATTGAGAGAATTCAAGTGTAGATTCTTCTATTACAGTAAACACGGATTTAAATAAGGACACTGTATTTTTTTTTATGGTAACCTAATAGAGAACATGTACACGTGATCTGAATAGTTAGGTGTTTGTTACCTCATGAAGTAAAACATGATATCTTTAGTATTTTTTCACCATTGAAATAACCAAATATTGATCATATAATTAAAGGAATAGGAGAGCATGGATTATCTTAAGCTATTATGAGGACAGAAAATTACTTATTGTGTGATCGTCATTTCTAAACTTGATTATTCATTTGTCAACTGACAAAGAACTCATAGTTGTCCGAACATTTACTAAGCAAATGTGACAGTTTTAACTTCTTATTACATATTGAGATGCTAGGTGGTTGCAGAAAGTCGACAGGGAATCATAGATCGTTAGATGGTGATTGAAGGTGGTCGACAGGGAACCCTGGACACGGGTTTCGTGCTACTTCGCACTCATTAGCAAGGTGTACCTGTAATCTTTGAGGGGACTGGTGCTCCCTGATTCATTCGATCCCGTGTCACCCAGCTTCACAGTCAGAGACGTTACCACTGAGGTATCCGGACCGCGACCGACCTCCTGTAGGACTGAGATGTAATCACAATTGATGATCACTGGGTGGTGACCAATGTCATGCTTGTCCAGTCCTTATTATTAGTGCAGATCGAATGCTATCGAACATCTAATCTCACATTAGTGCCCGCAGTGTCGAGTCACCTAGACTGGTGGTCACATTGCAACATGATCGATAGCATTCGATTTGCACTAATAATAAGGACTAGACAAGCATGACATTGGTCACCACCCAGTGATCAATCAATTGTAATCATAGATCGTAGTTTCAATCTAGTTAGCTCCCGTCATTCAGACATACATACAATCATGTGATTAGTGATGCTCTATGATGGGTTATAAATAGCGTCACCTCACAGCTTTAAAACCTGATGTATTCGGTGCAAAACTAACCCTATGCACGTTTGTCATCAGTATCAATTAATTCACATTATATCATACCTCAATGTTGTTACGCTTTCATACAAATCGTTGGTTTTAAGTAGGTGATGAGAAACTACAAAATCAATTAACTTTCTATTATTATTCTACCTTAATCGTATTATAAATATTACTAGTAGTTATTAAGATTCAGTAGCTAAGTGGATAATGTGGTGGCGTTTGAAGTGAACGGTACTGGGTCTGAGTCCAAGAATGGACATCAACTCTAGGATGCAGGTACATTCGACTGACGAGTCCCATATAGAATAAAACGCGTATTCTGGATTCCACTGTTATCCGCCATCAATTTCAATATTTCTAAAAATGAAAAATACTTTCTTGCATTCTTTTCTTCTAATTGAAACCAATCATTATGTTGTTCGATCCCCGGAGGGATCGAGAACGCACTCTGATAAGGAATCTAACTCTTAGACAAAACAGAAATCTAGTGCATCCTTATTTATTCTGATTGTTTAACCGAAGTCAGTTCACAATTTGACCCATATAACTCAACAATCTCCATAACTCTATTATGGTGTTTCCGTATAAGTCTCTGCTATATGAATGTGTAAACTTCTGTACATATATAAAGATAGTAAGTAATTCAACCGTTTTTTTTTGTCAGTAATTTGGAGTTAGTCTTACACTCAGTTATGTAGTAGTTTGTAGTTTGTTTCAAAGATCCATACTATTTGAGAATAAAGGTGTTCTAGCTTGAATTGATTCATGATATCAACCATTGTGAAATTACTTATAATATCCACAAAAACCCCTTTCTCATAATAATCAACATATGCTCACTAGTGACTGGCTTCAAGAGGTATTTCTTGGAGTTCTAGTTAGAAGCAATGACCAGTTAATTTCAATCAGATCTGTTGTGAGATAGTAACTCATCGAAGACAATGGTGAATGTATCGCTCAATTTCGTGGATTAGTTAAAGCTAGACATTAACATCGTTGGATACCAGCAGGTTCACTGAACTAGAGGTTAAGCGCACGTATGAAACTGATAGGTCCTGTGCTCGAATCTTACGAGGCCGGATCATGAATGTACGCTGATGAGGAATCCCACACTAGGACGAAACAACCATCCAGTGAATCCAGGTTTTCCATGATATATTCACTTTAATGAATTGAGTTTATTATATAACTGAAACTTAGTTATGAAATATTGTTATTATCTCAGTCAAATGTAGATTCAAAGTTTATGAAATAAAAAATTAACTCTGATCAACTTTGAAACACAATATGATAATTTTTTTAGTCGATTCTATGCATTTCCAAACTCTAACACAGTTTTTCAATAAAGTATATTATAAAAGATATATAACTCCGCCTGGAGCCCCTTTCCGGGGGCTACTGCCGGTCCCAAGCCCGGATAAAGGAGGAGGGTTGGGCATGGGGTTAGCGACCCCATCCCGTAGAAAACTAACTCGCTAAAAAAACGCTAACCAGAAAAATTATTATATAAAAGATATATTGAATATTGTATTGAAAACTCCGCCTGTAGTTCTTCTAGTGTTACTGCTAATTCCAAGCCTGTGTAATAAAGGAGGGGTGGGTATAGGATTTGCAGCCCCATCCCGTAGATACAAACCTTGTTAAAAAAAAAAACGCTAACCAGATTAAACAAATTAAACCATTTAAACTCGAATCTCCAAATTGAATCAAGTATTATGACACTTTATTATGAATGTCGAGATTCTTCGAAAGTTACTTAACTAATGCCTCTCCTAATAACCAGAGAAACTATTAATTTAGGTACTGTGACCTATGCTTCCCCACAAGGTTTAACAAACGTAAGTAACTGAAAAAAAGTATGTAAATTATATTGAAACAAATATTCGTCCTTTAAATGGAAAATCCAGGACGGGCATCATGGAAACCACTGTTAGTCATGATTCATCTATTGCTTATAATGCTTGTAACTTAAGATAATATCGAGACAATGCACTTAGTATACACATATGCCAATAAGAGACAGATCAATTGTAGTCGTAAATGTACCAAGTGATTTCAGAGAATTCTGTAAGTTTCGAAATAGTTACGTTTTCAATGAAGCATTTAGTCGGAATACTTGAACTAATATTTTC